ATTATTGTGACCACAAAATAGTTTACTTTCCTTTCTTTAATAAGCTCAGAGTGTTAAATGATTAGTCTAGAGAATAACAAAATAATTGTTCCAGTTAAATATCTTCATTTTTTTCCTCCTCATTGGTCTTAAGGAGTCACTTTGTTCTTTAGAAGAATAATAAACATATAAGATTAAGTTTCTTTGTGTTTTGACTGGCTAGTATTATTCGGATAGTTCACTTTTTAAATCCTCTCCTTACCAATGGACTAAATTCTATTTTGAATGCACTCATTTTTTTAAGTAGTTATGAATATTCAGTGTTAAAAATATGAAGTAGAGGGAAGATTTACACCAAATTCTTTTTTGGACTAAAACTACCTTTGCGTTGTTTTATGCTTGTCACTGCACCACGTGTCTCCCTCCACAGGCAGAGAAGAGACAATTGTACTAGTTTTATTGCTTGGATAGAAGAACTGGTATTTTCTAAAGTCCAAAGCCAAAAGTCCTTTGTCTTAGGCAGCCAGTCTTTGCTTATCTGAGGGCATCTAGGATACAATCAGTGGATATAATCAAAACAGCTCTAAATATAAAGACCTGTCCAGTGAGAAGATGGAATATGATATTTTCTAATTTTCAAGTCCATGTACAAAAAACCCCATGCTATATCTATTGCTCAGAAATTAATATTTTGCAATACTTTTTTTACTTTCTCCAAAACATATACTTCTATGGTGGGTCTGAAGGCTACCGTCATCTGATGGATGATTTCACAGGGGTGCAAGAAGGCCCCTGGACCCAGAAAAAGGAATCCTGTATTTATATCTGGCTCTGCCTCTAAGTAGCATTTTCTTACACTAGTCTTCAGTTTTCTCATCTTTAAAACAGAGAAGTTTAAGTAAATTTTCTCTGACCTACATTCTTGCATGAAATCCTCAATTTGAAGATGATTAAATAAAGGGGTTGTAAATACAGAAATTAGAAACATATTGAAAAATGATATTGTGGAGACATGACAAGGTTTCCTGAGATGGCTTTTCTTGAGTTAATATCCTCTGAAAATGAAATGCTCAAAAAGATTAATCGTCCCCAAAGAGACATGGCTGTATTCCAAAAACAGAAGAAAACAGCACAGTATAGGTATGGCTTGGGCATCTCTGACTCTTTGCTGCCCTCTCATGTTTCAACACACTCTTTAGTTCTGTCATTCACCACTGCGTGAGGACATACTCAGGTGAGCCTTGCTCTAAATAAGATGAGGATTCCTAAATATCTCCTGTCATTACTGTTTGAGAAGAAAATCATAAATGAAACATACCATAAAAGCTGATACATCATCAACGTCCTCCTCCTCTACTCTACTAGTTGTTAAATTAGCTTTAGGAGTAAAAAAACACCAGGCACGGAGCAGGGTTGTAGAAAGAAACACTTGGTGAGTTACTCTCAACATGCTGAGCTCTGTTATTTAGCTAACTCATCTCCTTGAATTCCTGCAACAGCACCGAGAGAGTTAGGTACCTATATCTCCATCCTTCCAATGAGGAAATAAAGCAAAGGAGAGAGACAGGGTTTGCACTCAAGCTCCAAATGCCACACACCATCTTTTTGTTATGTCACACTAAAGAACATAATAGCTATTTAGTACTAAGGCTCTTTTATACATGCACATTTGGAAGCTTTATTTTTTAAAATTTTTAAAATAATTTTAGAGCTATGCATTTACTTATTATGTATGCAAATAAAAACTGATAAGTAACTAACATGCTTTAACCCTAATGTTATAAAATCAAACTTTCCTGGCCTTGTCACACGTCAAATGGAATAACTTCAAAGAGGGAGAAGGGTCTTCTACGATCTATGGGGGAAAGCTTTAGAAAACATAGTGTGACATAATAGACAAAGTTCTTAACTCTTCTTTTTAAAAAGCCACAGAGTTGATTCACAGAAAAGTTATAGGGAGGTAATTTTTTCCTTCAAAGAGCTATGACTCAAAAGTAAGTTCTTAGATTTTGAAAATAACCCTGAACAGTAGTTTATCAGCCATATCACAAGGGCACCAAGGTCTGTGGCTGTGATGAGAGGAAGGGACAGAGCACTGGGAGCAACAGGAGGCCCCACATTTGACAGGCACAAAGGAAGTGCGTCAATTTCAACCATTTTGGGGGAGCTCCATAATTTTTACTCTTATGATCCTGCAATCTCATCTGTCTCTCATTCTTCCCTTTCCTTCTGTCATCTTTCTGGCCTGTTCTTTCCATCACCCCTAGTTCTACACACAGAGTCAGTCTTAGAAATAAAAACAACAAAACTACACAAAAAGTGATGTACTGAGTGCTTACTTTGTGAAGGATTGTGCTGAAAGCAGCCCACATGTGAACTCGTTTAATTTAGCAATAACTGTATGATCATCATTTTATAAATGGGGAAACTGAGGCAGAGAAAGGGTATGTAACCTGCCCAGGGCCACAAGTTATCATGATAGAGCATGGTTTGAATTCTGGACATGCACACTGCATGATTCCAGGGGTGCTCCAGCAGTGATGGTCTATGAAATTGCCCTCCAGGGGTGCCTGGGAGCTGTGCACCACTGCAGCCTTTTGGACCGGTCATGAACTTAACCATATGCTACACTGTTCCTCTAGACTCTCAATAAAATTTCTAAGAAGGTCAAATTCATGTTAAAGGGTATCCCATTGACTCTTTTTAATGCTCTTCTCCACCCTTCCCAGGATAACCGCAGAGGTATAGCTGGGTTCCAACACCAGGGGGAGTGAACTTGGAGGTAGGACCTGAGTAGTCAGCTGCTGAGGGAGGGAATTCACAAGCATCACTTTTTCTGTGTGTCTCAAGTCTTCTACCAAAGTCTCAACCAATATTATTATTTATGTTTTTAAGGGCCCACTTTTCCAGAATGGGCTCAGAGGAGAGAAACTTCCCCTGCTATTGCCCTCAGCCCCTCAACCCCCATTCCACTTTTCCACCTTGGTTTGCTAAGCTTGGGGAAGGAAAAAGACTTCCACTCTCTAGTCAGTTAATTTCCTGTTGTGCTTTGTGATGAACACAGCTGCATTAAGCAGTTAATGATAGTTAATTAGTTTCTCTTCCTAGATAAGATATTTCTGTAGCCCCACTGTCCCTAGACCCTAGGTCAGCAGCTTGTGGGTACAAATGAGGCCATATGTGCCTTAATTCCCATATTTCAGTAGCTCATAATTCTCTCTGGTATTGCCCCTGGGCCTCAATACTACGTGAAAATTTCTGGGAGCTTTTATGGGGTCTCTCACATGTGTCTAAGTATGTGCTCCTGAGCGCAGCTACTCTCCCTTTAATCAGTGTTGGGGGACAGCCAGAGCTGCCCTGACCACTGAGCATCCACTGCCTCTGCCTCTTGTTGGACACAACAATCTCCACAGGTACCTACAGTGGCTCTTCTGGGAGGACGTTCCTATGGGGCTGGCTCATATATGACCTCAAGACACAAAAGCGTTCAGGGAAGAAAATAGCACAGCATTCTACTCAAATTGCAACATCGAGAGTCTGCTTATTGCAAAAATATGGGAGGCGGGGGGGTTGTCCCTCTTTATGGCTGTCAGACCTGGTGCCTGGAGCAGGGCTAGAAATCAGGTGCCAGGTGGCCTGTCTCACTAGAGGCCTCAGGCACATGCTCACAAAAGTCAGTCTGCTCATCCCTCAACATAATCAGCCAAGTGAATAGAAACAGAGGAGTCCAGTTCTATGCTGCCATCTCAGTTTAGGCTCATTTACATTGACTGGGTTTCTGAAGAAGAAATCTGCTACTTAAAGAACCTACTTTAATTTATAGGAGTTTCAGTTATCAGATCAGTTCATCTCTTGATCAATGTCAAGAAGAAAACTGGAGAGCCAGACACATACTATGAAATGACAGTTGAAAATCATCACCAATAAGATTTTGAAAGATAAACATGGAAAAGAGAACCAATAATTTAATATTCATTGAAATACAAGCCTCATTAGAAAGACATTTAGGAAAGAACAAAATTAACAACTGTTCCAGAATCAACTCTGACATAGTGACCACAAACGAGACCAGTTGAAAAGTGATGACTGGACATGATGAAGTTAACTTTCACGCAAAGCGTACTCAGTAATAACTTAATAAGGAGCTCCTCAGCACATTATGAGTTCAAGTTCAGAGAAGACACTTGAATCAAATGAAGTATTGGTCTAGTTTGAAAAATACGTTAATTTTCTTCTGGTAATAATTTTAGAAAACTTAGGTTTCCTTTTCCAGGCAATTATTTTAAGTGGGGTTTTAAGAAATGATTAAATGAATTCAGTCTGGTTTCAGGTTCAGCAAAATGAGATCATTTGTTCCATTTTTGGTTCAGTTGAGGTCAAGTTCTACGTTTAAAATAGACTAAGGGGAATCGAGGTAATTTTATTTTTCTGCCCTTTATGTCCATCATCATTCCTTCCACTTCTCTTCCCCAAACCATCTGTTCTTTTGATCTCATTGAACTTTCCTATGTTGTATAATTACTTCTTCTCTCTTCTCCCAAACTGAATTTATTCTCAACTCTCTGGGTCCAAATCAGGACTACTGGAATGGTGTTCCTTCCTACATACAACTGGGATACTGATTAACCAAGAAGGCACATTTTATTTATGCTTTCACGTCCATTAAACCAAGTTACCATATATTAACATCACACTGATAACGTAAGCATGGAAACAACACGGTCAACATTTTGAAGGTAATGCTGTCTCCCAAAATACAAATGCCCAGAGCAATGCTAAACTTAGAGCACAAATTTAAATGGTTTTTAAAAATGGTACACCAGTAAATATTTTACAAGTAATAGCGTGAATGGATGACTTGTGAGATCAATGAGAGAAATGATAATATAGAGAAGAAGGAATTAATTTCTTTGAAATTTTAGAATTGCAGTATAAAATTGGTGAGTTAATGCTAGGTTGAATCCTGGAAGATATGGTTTCTTCCTAGACATGAGAAGAATAAGCTCCCAGATCTTTCTTACCTGTTATGGTGGCTTTGTTGATGGATGGTTGGTTGCACATGGGTGATCTTCTGACAAAGACAAAAAAATACAAAGCAGTAAATATGCGGTGCCTGGTGATCTGTGGACTCTCTGAGTCATTTCAGATATGCCATTTTAATTTAAAGAATTATTTTTAAGTTAAGACATGCAAACGAAGATTTCTTTCAGACTAGCCGGTCAAGTCCTTAGGTACCCTTCGTACCATAGTTCAGATCACACGTCAAAGAAGAAAACAGTTAAATCTCATAGTGATAGACTGTGGGGTAAATAAAGCTGATGTAAATGTCACAGGGACATGATAGAGGAGGAAGTTCTCATTGATTGACTATTTCAGCAAAGGCTTACAGAGGGCTTACAGAGCAAACACAGACTCTTTGAATTTGGAAAAGTAGTCAGTCTATACTTGGTTTTCCTAACACAGTGTTAATGAACTTTTACTTTTGGCATACATTTCTATGATTGCCTGTACACTGTCAGAAGTAAATGACTCCTTGTAAACTATATTACAATTAGAGAAGCTATTTTAACATTTTCCTTTCTATTTCTTATATGGAGAAACACCTCTGCTACATTTGTTAGAAACGTATACTAATGATTTGTCCCAATAGATGCTCTAGAGACTTTAGAAATACTGTAAATTAAAGGTGCTTAACTAGATTCTATCGCATAGTCTTTAATTTTTCAGATGTTTGCCAAGTTCCACAAGAGGATTATAAACCCCTTGAGGCAAAAAACCATGCTTTATGACTAACTTGTATTCCCTAGAGAGCACAGCACAATGTATCTAATGCTTAATAAATTACGTTGAAAAGAATTATCATTTATACAATATCCACTAAGATTTTTTGAAATATAACTTTATAAAGTTGTTATTTACAATGGAAAGCTTTTAAAATAATGATCTTTAAAAAAACTTTAAAAAACAGACACATTCAAGGATGTCTGCAAAATTTTTGTTTTTATTGATTTTTGGTGCTTTTCTCTTTTTTGGTACTTCTATCAGTGGCTAACATTTAATAAGCACTTACTGTGTGTCAGACACTGTGCTAAACGAGCACTTTAAACGAATTATCTCCTTTGCTCCTCACAAGAAACCTTAAGGCAGGTCGTCTCATTGTTCCCATTTTACAATGAGGAAAACAGAGCTTTGGGAAGTTGAATAACTTGTTCCAAGTGCCAAAGCTGAGATGTGAACTAAAGTAATGTGATTCTAGGGCCTGCGCTCTGCTATGCTGCCTTATTTTGAGGATGCTTTTGTGGAACCTGGACCAAAAGCCACACATCTGTGCAGGTGGCAGGCTCTCTCAGAGCCCTGTTCAAATCTGCCTTCCTGAGATGACAAATCTCTTAGCAGGGCTGGGAGACCCTTGGGAAAAGCGGCCTGGTACTTTGTCAATTCTCAGTCTTGGTTCCAGTCAGTGTCTGGCTCTGTCTCACTGCTCTTACGTTTACTGATGTCAGTTTGGGACTGAAATTTTGTATTTGATTGAAAAGTCACCAAAATTTACTTCTGAATTATTTTAGTTTTTATTATGAAATAAAATGGGGGAATTTGAAACTTGATTAATGCTTCATGGAACAGAAAGGTTACTGTTTTAAACCGCTGCTCTAAAACACCTCTGGTCTATACACTAATAGTTATCTTCTTGCTGAGAGCTTATTATTCAAATAATTTATATATTGATTATTTTTTTTTTAGTCCTTGCTCTATGAAAATTTAGAAAGCATCAATTTTGTCTAGGAAAGGTATCAAATGAATACTTTTAAACTTTTCTATAGTTTTGGAAAACCACATTTTTGACTTGTTACTTACTGTCTTCTCTTAATACCAATCCAACAACGGTCACTTTGGGAACTTGATATTTCAACAAATAAGGGCAAGCAGAGAATATTAGTCATTTGATCCACGGTTACGGTGATAAATCATTTAATGAAGAATGAGCCAGAACTCCCTTCTGGAATGAAAACTCTCAAGGGTAAGAAAGAGCAAGGTACTAGGACTCTTAATGGGTTAATAAAAGTCAGCGATGTGCATTTGAGTACCCACAGAAGTCAGGGCTTCAAATGCATTCTTCCTAAATTTCTTCCTCCTAGCAAATTAAAAAGTGGATTGTGCAAGGTAGCACATGCCTTCCGCAGAATCCAAGGGTGAGTCTGGAAGTGCTCCAGTGGTACTGGGAGTGCCCAGTAGGGAAATTCCGATTCCTTCAGGGTCATCATGTGATGAACCAGAGTTACATGCACTTTGCCCACACTGACAGAACAGAGCTTGGCCGTACACAGATTGAATTCTACTATTCTGAGGAGGCTGATTGGGTTTACATCAGTAAAGGAGGTACAAATCTGACCAAAAGAGAGACCTCAAAGGCCTTTAGTTAAAGTCTACCAGATAACATTGTTTGGTTAGACATCACCCTGGGCATTCAATTGTAGGTCAAGTCTGGGCATAAACTATGATTTTTCTACCCTCCTCCAGCTGTTCTTTCCCGTTTTAATCTGTCTGTCCCTGTAAATGAGTTGAAAACTTCTGTCTTGCACAGAATGGGCCTCACGTCATCTCTTTGGAGACGGAAGGCCAATCTGATGCCTTCACACCTCTCTGATCAAGTTTATCTGTCACAGGTTTAAATGCTGGTCCCCAAGTGACCATGTCTGAAGGAAGCGTAAAAGCAGTTATAAAGTTTCTGGTTTGCCTTTTAAAAACAATACCTCAATTTCTTAGATAAAAATTGAGACTAAAAATGTTTGGGAGTGACACCAGTAACTTCGTTCCTCCTGCAGTGCTGTGACTTTCCAAAGAGGAGGTGATGCACCTATGAGCTACCAAACACCAAAAGCCCCACGGGGCCGTTGAGATCAGCGTGATATTGTATGGACGTGGAGGAGAGAAGACGTGTTTGGCAAAGGAGAAATACCTCGAAGCACATCCTTACGTTCCACACGCTGCCTCACCACCTCACTCTTCCAGGCAGCAAGCACGTGCAAAGTGAGTACTCTGTCTGAGCATTATGCTAGGTACCAAGAGTGCAAATGTGAACCAGATACAACCACTGCTCACTGGGCCCTGACATTCTTAAGGAGCACTCAGACAGGCAAATCCGCAACTAGAGCAGAGAGAGACACGTGCTCAAATAGACATTAGGTGCAAGATGCGATCAGACGAGCTGGAAAGGCATACCACCCAGTTTGGGACCTGGGGTGGGCGTGTGTATGTCGGGTGTTAGTCTGGGAGAATGGCTCAAAAGGAATTCTGTTTAAGCTGGGACCGAAAGAATGAATTACAGTTAGCCCAGTGGATGAGGAGGGGAAGAAGGTGAGAAATGTTCAGACTGAGGGAACAGGCCTGCAAAAATTCATTATCCAGAAACATGACAAACAGCTGAAGTTTCTGGGTTCCATTCCAATTATTTGCATTTTGACACTTACACTGATTTTTTAAAAACCGTTTTCTATCACAGGAAGTACGTACATAATGGCAAGAGCATTTTTTAATCATGGAAAGCATGAATTTGGGAGGTCAATTATATCATTATGGAACGGAAAGTTCAGATTTTTTTCATGTTCTTTAAGAAGTAGCAACTACTATGAAATTGTATACACTTAGATAAGTTATAATTCCAAATAAATTTTTATTCACTGTCCTCTCAATATTGATTTAAGGAAATGCTTTTTCTTCTGGAAAATTCTTTGGAGTTGATATTTTAGTGATAGCATTTTATTTATTATTAACAATAGATTGCCAAAATAATGAGCATTTGAATAATTAATCATTTTTCCATTTAATCTTAAAATATTAATTTTGTTTTCTTAGATCTTTTGCCTTTATTAGAACCCCCAAATTATAATCATTTTCCATCTCGGCTTTCCTTCTTTCAAAGGCTTTCCCTGTTATCACATATCACAGTTTGATCGATTGTTCCATGATGCTGCTGATCTGAAAGTCAGTAACAGCAGGAAAATCAAAGATCTTTGCTATGATATGGTACTTCTCCAAGGAATCCTTGTCTCAGAACTAAGAGGATGACTCTGGATTGACTTTAAGGCTTGATGAGATGGTATGTCCATGGTTAATTTATGAAGTTAGCCAAACCTATAAAGTTACCCTGAGTGTGAATAACTGAGCAGAGGGCTGGGTAAGCCAGGTGATTTCTGACAGATGGAATCACCGTACTTATTTGTCATACTGCTTCATTTCTGATCTTAGAACCACCACTACAAAGTATTTATAGAATATTAACAGGACATCATATGACATAGTGTAAATGGTTAGACAGCATTGCAACAACTCAGAGAAATCTAATATATTGCCTTGAGTTCACTCAAATTGAGAGAACACCCTATAACAGTTCAGCAAGAAGGAGAAGAAAAGAAGGATAACTTACTTGCTAGGTGCTCGATCTTGCAAATTAGTTAACGCAGCAAAGTTGTTTCGTACAGTTCGCAGGCTCGCTAAGACCTACAACAAAAAAGGATACTTTAAACTTCTTGAAGTAGGGCCATCTTTAAAGCACTTTAAAATGACTTGGCGATTTTAAAAAATGATTTTTTAAATGAAAACTTGATATTGCTTGCAAGCTAGTTTCATATACTGCTAAAGAATCTCCCAGTGCTTAGCGAAGCTTCTATGTATCTATTCAAAATCCAGAGAGGACAGACTGCAAGGATTTTCCACATGTTTCTCCTCATTGTCTATGAATATGGTGACAGCAGCAGCAGTTTCCACAGTATTCCTGGATTCCTCAGTCACCAAAACTATGTCCCAGGCAATATACATATAGTGTTGCATTTTATGCAAACTTGAGATAGTGTGAATATAAAATGTTTGTCAAGTCTCACTTTAGGAATAAAATTTAAAACAAGTTATCCTCAAATTCTCTTCAAAAATTCACCAAAAATGTCATAATTGCAAAGTCAGCAAGCTAAATCAATTTTAAATTTTTTCACCTTTGCCACACGGCCACTCTAGCCAGTAACGAGAAATTCTTTTCTCTGTAAAGGTGATCTGAACCACGAATTAGAAGGTTCTCAGGAATGCATTTCTCACATCAAATGGGACTGCCCTGTGTGTGCACAGTGCCTGGCCCACAGAAGATACTCAATAAAAATGTGCTGAATAAATGAATACACAGACACGACATATCCACACACACAGGACCACTGGGTCCCACTATCTCCGATCGCCCTTCCTTTTCTTAATTCTAGTGAAACTAGAAAGCAGCAGAAGAAATAGAAGTGAGACTAGGAGAGAAAAGTTAGAAGAGCATTACCTCCCTCTCTTTCTCCCAGAATGGGCCTGTTTCCCCCAGGGTGTGGCCGATATCAGGTGAGATTATTGGTAATCTGAGTGACAACCAGAATGTTAAATTTATCGAAGATACAGATTCCAAATGTCCTATGGGGCACTGCATAACAACCCAGACTGCCTGGCTCTGAGATGCATGCACTGTGTGAACTTAGTCAAGTTACATAAACTCTCGACCTCAGTTTCCCCTTCTGTAAACTGGGATAGTGGTATCTACCTCATAGGGTTGCTGTGAAGATGATATGAAATGACAGGTTAGGTGCCATCAACAGTGTCTGGTAAATAGAAAGCACTCAGTGAATAGGAAGCCCATTATGGCAACATTCCACTAGATTAATGATTTGGCGGGTGCCAAGGGAATTTAGTTAATGGCTACCATTGATAGTATGGGAGGGGCAAATTCATAATTGCTCCAAGGGTTCCACAAGCGTTTCTAGAATCTTCTCATCTGGCACTGACCTAGACTAGTGACAGTGTAAGTTTTTTCTAAGATGAAAACATCTTCAGACATTTTTGAAATTGGCATTAATTCTTGTAAGTCACAGGGGTGCTGTTTACATCCCGGGACAGTGACCCTACAGCATTATCCCCTGAAAGAGGCAATGGTGCTTCCTGAGGTGCCAATCGTGATAAACTCAGCCACTGGAAAAACCTGGCTCATTATCACATATAAACGGCTCCCAGCGCTGAAATGTCACGCTGCCGATGACGGAGTATTCAAATAGCCCACTGCTGACATCAGACCACCATGCCTTTCACTAGGCATGAATCTTGAAAGATGCAGAAATAAACCTGACAAATGATCCTCTGTCATTAAATTACACAGGCTTAATTTATGCTTTAAGAATTTAACATCAAATGCACTGATAAAGCACTTTAAATAAGATTATTGCACTCCCTAGTCGATCCTTTTTCTAGGCAAAATTTTAACCACAGAATTCTGAGAATTTTATTCTAATAAATTATAGTAACGGCACTGCATTTGACAGCTGGGTAAACAGAAATAGCCCTGCAGGTAATTTACGTCAAATGCTCATTCGAAAGGAAACCTTAGCTCATGGAACATATACTGCAATTGTTTTTCTGTAAAAAAGGTTTTTCACTCGTTACAACAAAGATATTAAATTAGACTATTTTGTTTTGGTTTTTAATTTAAATTTAATGTATTTGTTTTGCATAATCTATATCTTCACATGGTGCAGAATTTAAACAGAACAAAAGAGTAGAAGTAAACTGTTTTCCCCTAAATAACAAAGACAGAAACAAAAATTACTGTTACTTCTGAGAGGAGGCAGGTGGATGAGTTGCGGAGGGACCTTCAGGGTGTTAAAAATATCGGTACTGCTCTATTTCTTAAACTGTTGATTTTAGTATTATTCTTTATATGGTAGATAATCACTAGACATAGTCACTTATATGTATGAAATATTTCAAAGTAAAAAGTGAAAAAAGATATTTTCCTCCCAGCCCCTCCTCCAGGCATACGGCTGCCTGTCCCCTCTGCTAATTGACTTTTAGGTCGTCTCCTAAATTTAGCTTTTACAAAGACTACTGCAGAAAATAACCTTGTAGATACATCATTGCGTATGTGCACAAGTCTTAGATCATTGTTTTCGTGGTAGGACAAATAATATTTTATGAATTTTATATTGAGTATAAACCATTATCTTCTGCACTATGACACATATGATATCGGCAGAAGTGTAAATAAAAGTTCCAGACAAATCTTATAAGGAGGTGTTGCCCTAGGGCCCATTGATTGTCCTGGGGTCTGCATCCCCAGTGCACTGCTTAGTTTTTTATGCTCTCACTTGCACTGCAGGACACAGAGATGAGGCATCCACCGGCTAGGGTGGTGGGGGAGAAGTGGAAACAGTGTTACTCAAGGCCCTGAATTAGGGTTCAATTATTCTCTGCTTTTGTTCTAGGGCAGCTCTCACTCCCCTGAAGTCAACCCTTCAAGAACTATAGGCAAGGGGCCGGCCCAGTGGTGGAGCGGTTAAGTTCGCACATTTCGCTTCGGTGGCCCGGGGTTCGCCGGTTCGGATCCCCGGTGTGGACACGGCACCACTTGGCAATCCATGCTATGGTAGGTGTCCCAGATATAAAGTAGAGGAAGATGGGAACGGATGTCAGCTCAGGGCCAGGCTTCCTCAGAAAAAGGGGAGGGTTGGCGGTGGATGTTAGCTCAGGGCTAATATTCTTCAAAAAAAAAAAAAGAAAAGAACTATAGTCAGAGTTTTAAAGCTCCTCTAATTTTCTTCACTGCTTAATGCTTTCTAACCAAAAAGGTCCCCGGCGTTTTCTGTCACACAGCTCGATGGTTAGAAAATTAAGGTCATTTCTTTCTCTTCTGCCCCTCCAAGCAAAAGTGTAATCAGTCAGAGTCAAAAATAGACTGGGGATGATGTGAAATACATAGACTTTAGGAATTACGATAGTGCTGTGGAAAACTTCTGCACAGAGATGGCTCATGGACTAACCCATGAGAGAGACTAAACGTTATTTACACATACTAGTCTCAGATCTTCTTAGGTACTTCTAAACATTTATTAACCAATAAGAGTCACTGAAAATCACAGAAAAATGTGGGCTTCGTTAAAAAGTTAAACTGAACACAGCCTAAATGAAATGTATACTTACATAATAATAATTTCTTGAAAAGATTTAAAGAGGAGATTTCTTAAGGAGGGGGGCAATACTATTCTTGTTAAAAACTCCTGCTTAAAAAATAACAAAAACAAAGAAAGAAAGGATTTTGAGGACTGTTTTCGTTCCAAATACACTTTACGCCACTAGATGGCGATAAAACACAGATCATGAGTTGCCACGGGCTGGGGCCTTGGTTTTTACGTCCAGAAAAAAAAAGTGGAGTCACATTACGATTATTTATAGGATAGAAAGGTATTTTGATGGAAAAGAAAACCTCTTTCCAAGTTATGTTTTGGTTAAACCATATGAAATGCTGCTTTTGTATGACGAAAAAGGTTGAATGTTAATTTCACATAGTTCAACCTAAAAAGTATTTAGATTCCTAGCAGATGCTGTCATTTACTTTAATGAAGAATAAAGAAAAACCAACAGATAGAAGCAACTGAAATGTGATTATCTTCTTTAATAGCCGGGCAAGGAGATCCTGGCGGATTCGGTGAGAGGGGAACTGTGATGAGACAGCAAGATGGCTGCTGCTGGGTGAAATGGGCAGGGACATAGGCAGGCATTAAAAACATAGTGGCCATGTTCTATTTCCAATGGAATAGTCATGTTCTATAGTGTTAATAACGACATTTTTAATAAAATTATCCCAGGTGCTGTATTTTGGTTAAAGGTAAAATGACTTAGTTGTTCATACCCTGTATTTTTAAATCAGGCATATCTCCTTAGTCTGAATGACATGAGGATCTCTCCAGGTTTCCAAGATATTATTTGGATATTTTCTATCTTTTACTTAAAGATTCCACTTTTTTCCTTTATTAACATTTCATACTTTCAGATGAGAATTCTAATCGATTGAGAGTTTTACAAGGTACTCATGTCACAGATAATGCGACTGGTGGGGCCAGAGGCCACTGACTACAAAGCAGATTGCCTACACTTATCACTGTCTGTCTCCTTGGGTTCCTTTGGTTTCCTTGGGACCCTGCAAGAACTCTGGCCAAATTGTTACTACACTCTCGGGAGGAAAAGGCCAGTTGCCAGTGACATGACCTGGCACAACATTGGGATTCCTCTCAACACCTAGCCTTCCTGCCTAAGGAAATCCCCACCCAGAAAGATTTCAACACAAACATAGGGGAACATTTCAAAACGGAAATAAAATATTTAAAGCTGTCACTTTTAGGGGGGATCAAGAGGATTCTGAGCTTATAGGAGAAAACATTAGAAATTAGAAGTAGAAAAGTGTTTAGGTTAAACATTAGCAAGATTTCCCACCCCACAGCGTTCTAGACATGGTAATAGAGGAGTTTTGTAGGGTTCTTTCTGAAGATCACATCTGTCTAAGATGTTTTAGGTTTCAGCCCTATCCATCAGAGTGGAATATATCCTTGCATGCTTCTTAATTGTCTTATAAAAGGATTTTATTCTCTTAGTTTCACAGGAAACCATGATTGGGGAAAAAAACAGGGAGGGATCGTTTTCATGTTTTGGAGATGTGCTCAGGTAGAAAGAGACGAGTTCTCTCTCCAGAAGAGGGAGAAGACGAGACCGGCTGGAAAAGGCCTTTGACCACTTTTACAAGGAGAGGCCCATTTGAAAGAATTATTGGAAAGAAAATACAGAAAAAAAAAAAAGATATAAAGTAAAATGTCGATGCTAGTTATTTTGGGGTTTGGAATTACGGGAAATTTTCTTTTTCTTCCTTTTGCTTATATTTCTTTTTTAAACTTTTTAGGCAAAAAAGATTTTATTTTGAAAGTAGGATGGCTTTTTCACGAGAAGAATTTAATGTGAAATTCCAAACCCCAAAGCATGCTGGGGAACGGGGAGAAGTTTTTGGCCCATTTGAACATTTCCCTGAGCGATTTGTCTAAAATCGACTGTCTTCTGTCCATTGGTGAAAGCAGCTATGGTACATTAGGGCAAATAATGTTGGTATCACTTCAAGTGACGTAAGCATCTAATATTTTAAGCACTATAGTGTTTAGCATTAAATGATGAATATTGTATCCTGTATTAAAAATTTGAGGAGTTATTGGTTAGGAAAACAAAATAAGCGAGTCGTGCCCAATAGAGCTTAAGAGAGCCACAGACAAACCGCCAATAACCGGGCCTTCTGTCTTACCTGCTTTCCATTAAGATGCTCGATCAATGGTGAAATTGTTCAGGGTAACAGGCTTTTTTTTTTTTTTTTAATCCTAGTAGAGCTTTCCAGATCATACACCCTAGTAAAAGGCCATTTGTAAAAACTGTGATGAAGCCACTTAAAAAGAATCTGCAGCCTCTGGGGCAAAAACCACCTTCTACGAGGTGTTCTGAGTCATTAAGCTAATCATAAGCAAACGCTTGTAAATACATTCCAGGATCATTTTCAGGGATCAGATATGCCTACATACTACACAGAGTTGGTTTATATTCAAAGTCCTAATTTCAAGGGTATTAAGTACACATTTATTTAAACAGTTTACTAACAAAGACTGATATTTGACAAATATATATTTCTCAGGGTACTGGAATTCTATTAGTCTTTTGGAGATTACAGGTACACTACAGAAAATGTCTGATTATGCAAAAGACTAGATTTCCTTAGAATTTAACAGCACTGACGGCAAGGACCAAGTCCAATTTATTAATCTATTTATTGGAGATTAATAAATACTGCTTGAAATAAGAGGATAACGTATCATTTACAGAATATTTTTTATCTTTTACTCTATACTTGGATATATATTTCCTACAACAATACCTGGAGATTTTCGTTAGAAGCAAGAATAGCTACGTGAATAGACTCAAGTTGGAATGATTATTTCTACATTTGGTGATGGTTATTTATATTATTTTGCCTGATTTTATCTGTTCAACTAGCTCTCAGCTCTTAGAAATAAAATTATAGGACCTCAATAGTGATCCATTAAAAATCCTTAGCTTTATATGATTTTGTTATCACAAAATATGATTAAAACGTGTCAATTTTTTTGAACATAGAAATATAGATACTAGAAAGAATTTATGATCTCCAGCAAAACCTTAAGCAAACAAGACATTAACCTTCTGAAAGGGATAGTGGTTGTATTCTGTTTTTAATTGCCTGCATTAATTTAAAAAACCCACCATTATACAGTGTGTTATTTATGGATTCATTAAAGTTTTGGCCTAAATTACAGCGATTGCAAAATTTCAGGAAATTTGCAAAAGTGGAAGAATTATACATAATCATACTATATAAAAAATGTTATTAGGCATTTAAAAAAATACCTATTATAACATTTTAGAGGTGAAAGAGCCCTTACTGATAACAACCCTTAAAGTTCATTAAGTATTTTATTTTCTAGAAATTGTGCTGAGCACTTTACAAGCTTGGTATTATTTCAATCTCTTAATAACGTTATGAGCAGGGTAGTCTTGGAATTGTCATTTAGCAGAAGAGAAAACTAGGCTTGGAAAAGTTCAGTGACTTGCCCGAGGCCATTCACTTAGCAAGAGGAGGAGACGAGGTTTGAACTGGGGCCTATCTTTATCCAGCCGAGTCCTTCAGTTTTACCAATTGGAAAAAAAAGAAGTCTTTGAGAAGTTAAATGAGTGGCCCAAGGCCCTGGAGCTGGTTTTGACATCACCCTGATTGTGATTTTTACAACCTCTCTGGATCCTCGTATTCCAGTATTTAACATTTCTTATTAACAGTCAGTGTTGGCTTTAATCCTGTTTCATGCCCCAGGTTAAATAAGTTTTATCCTTTTCTGTCCCTAGTTTGTTTATACCAGTGGCTCTCAACTCTCCTAGAAGAAATGCAGGTGTTTGGATCCGATCCCCAGATTTTTAGATTCAATTGATCAGGGAGGTGGCCTGGGATAAAAGCTTTCTAGGTGATTCTAACGTGCAGCTAGGGTGGAGAAACATTGGTCTATACAAAGAATATCTGGTTAGCAACTGTTTTATACATATTCCAAACGGCTTTAGATCATTTTACCACCTTCTAGCATTTATGTCATGCGGTTAAAGTATTTTCATGATTTGTGTACCTAAAAGGAACAAACTGACATAAATATATCACTCAGTTAAATTTTTGTACAAATGGCATGTCAAAAAAAGAGTAAATAAAGCATCAGGTTGAATTGTAATATTGACTTTCATGCACTGATCATGTACCTAATTATACTAAATGTAATTTAATCCACGATATAGCCGTCTGCTTCTAGTGCTTATGTCACTTAAGGAAATATGGTCCCATTTAAGTATGTCAGTTAGGTAATTTGTAATTTGAAGCAAAGACTCTCTTAGGGTCTTGTATTTATACGAAACAGACCAATAAGGCCAAGGACACATTCTCTAGCATTGCTTTTGAATTACTTGAATGAACCATAGAATTTGTATTTGTACTTGTGAAATGAAATCAAGAACCAGAACTAATTCCCCAAATTAAACTTTCAGATCTGTGAGAAACCTGCCCATTTAACAAACTGTGCTTACCTGAGCAAATGGAGTCACAATCAAGTCATCTCCGTGTCTGAAAAAGAAACCAAATCTTGTGTTAGAAGTTGCCGATGACTCTATGACCACTTTTGATCAATATTAAACAGTAAGTTCCACTTGAAAAAATTCTCATAGAGAATTACAGTAATTCCATCCTTACTCTTCAGCACATAGTTCTTCCCAGCCAGGAGGGTGAAAATATGTCTTCCGGGATGTTAACCATTGTCCAGTTCCCTGGGTAAAAAGAGGGGCTTCTTGATCATCAACCAAGGTCACTGTTGCTTATGACGTAAGCACACAGGATATATAATGCAGAAATGGAGTTCCAGCAGCGGGGCCTCTTACGGTAGGTATTAGTAAAGAGTGCTGCAGAAGGAGCTAGCACCTGCAGTGGCTTCGGTGAGAGGCCCCTGGACCGTCTAACATTTGAAGGTGATGAGCATGGAGTGTTCCACATCATCGTGTGTGAGTCTTGGACAGGCTAGGAACTGTAGATGACACGGGGCTGCATCATACACTAATAAAAACCCGGTGAAACTTTTCAACTGACTCATGTCCCAGCCTCTGTAGTTACGGAGGAACGCTGCCCTGTGTGTGCTGTTGCTGCAGCAACCTCAGCTACACCATGCCCCGGGATGCAGGAGCAAGGTGTCAGCATCATGTGCCACGGAGGCAAAGGGAAAGGCAAGGAATGTTGTGCAACATTATACTTGGAGGAAAGTGAGAAACTGGGGCCCAGAGTTCTTCCGTGGTGTTTCTTAGCATGAATAACTCGTGAAAAGGATTTCCAAAATCTCCGAGGGATATTTCTTGATTTAGCTAGCTGAAGCTCTTTAATCAAAAGGGAATGTAATTATTCTACATGGAAAACTTCCTGGACGTGACCCCAACTGAGAACACTGCAACTGGACCGTTTACTCATCATGAAGAATTCTGAAAAGGGCCTGAGTGACCCAAAACAACACTGATGAAATACGCTTCAGCACAAGCAGCGTATGGATGACGTCAGCAAGCAGATCGTTACCAATAATTAAACCAGTTGTTACGGTCATCACCAAATGACTCAGAGACCTTGAAATTCAAAGTGTGGGGAAATAAAAGGCAAAAAAAAAAAAAAAGGTCGGAACACACTTTAAAGGAAACGTATTATTTTGCATCCCATTAGTTTCAGAATTGCATGTTTTGAGGGGCACTTGCTCTTTGTAGAGATTATTCAGATAACCAAAATTAAAGTAATATGAAATCTACATATTTTCCCAAGGTACAGTCTTTTCTTCCATTTTATTCTTTATAATTGCCCGACTATAAAGTTTATTTTCTAAGAACTAAGTCATCTTGACCAAGGCACATCACTGACCTGAAATTAATCTCTGAAAATGTGTCTTCTAAGTTTTTACATGAATTACATTAGATTTGAGTCACTCTAAACTGAAAGAAGTGTGAATATTTATTAAAATATTTAATTCTTTCTTTGGTTGTATTTCATTCCCATGCAATGTAAAAGATCTATTTAGAATAGACATGAGCCTGGCCCAGTGGTGTGGTGGTTAAGTTCTCACGCTCCACTTTGGTGGCCTGGGGTTCGCCGGTCAGATCCTGGGCACAGAGCTGTGTACCACTCATCAAGCCATGCTGTGGTGGCGTCCCATATACAAAATTGAGGAAGACTGGCACAGATGTTAGCTCAGCAACAATCTTCCTCAAGGAAAAAGAGGAAGATTGGCAACAGATGTTAGCTGAGGGCCGATCTTCCTCACCAAAAGAAAGAAAGAAAGAGTATACAATATTTAGGATAATTTATCAGCCTTGCTTCCTTTCCCTGTCAAAACATAAAGAAAGACAATTATAATTTTAATAAAGGAGATATGGCCGAGAAATGGTTTTTTCTAAATATCTCAAGATTGTCTCATTTTAGTAGCAGTGAAATTATTCTGGCATTTCAGTGGCAAATGTCCTCAACAAAGGGCAGGTTCTAGTCTATCCTTTTCAAAATTATGTAATGCTTAAATTATCTTTGAAAATATACTGAATATATAATTTTAAAATCTTTGTCTAATTCCTCATCTCAATATTCTCAATATTAAAATATCTTAGGGGAACTACTGTCCTAAGTACAATGATGCAGGTAAGATATTATTTTGTGTATGGAAGAAAATAAATGTAATATGGACATATATTTTAATTGTATCCTATAATTTGCTTATAATAATCAAAAATCAGAACTGAGATCCAGGCAGAAGATTCGTTTTGTTGTTATATACAATTTCGTTCAAAGCATGTGTGAGTTTTAATGAACTGAATAAATGCACACACCAACAAAAGCCTCTGATAGAAAATGATTCTGAAATGCTGCACTTGAACGACACTCTGAAACTGAACCAATTGAGTGTGGTTAAAAGAGATTATAATACCACACAATAAGATTATTGGGGCTTCCTAAGATGAGAAGAGACTGCTAGGGTCCCCTATAAATTGACAGGAAGCTAGAGTCCAATTTGCACAGTGAGCATTGCTGGAGACCTGAAATTATACCTCCTGTTGACATGACTTTTCTGGAGAGGATTATGTAATATTGTCTTTTATTTAAATAAAAAGAAACAAACATAACAACAACCAACTTTAACAAAAAAGCAACTGGGATCTGCTTTAAGGAAAAAAATTGCTTTTTTTTTTAGGATTGGAGTATTCACGAGGGACAGGTGGTGTGAGAACGAGGGCTTGGGGGACATTGTATGTATTGTCAAAATTGACTACAGGGGAGCCATTTTAAAATGAAGTTGGGGCTGCCATTCCAGAGAAAACTGCTTTGCTCTCTTGAACCTTGGACGGAGCAAACCTTCAGACTGGGCCAAAATGGCAATTGTTTTATGAGCAATTGTTTGAGAAGTCAGCAGGAAAACGGATATCCTGATCACAAAGAGTGAGGATTGTGGACTTTCTGAAGATAGAATCAATAGTCAATCAATGTTTAGCCACGACTAACTTCTGCCTCCAACTCCAGTTAAAATTCTTTGTAACACAAACTTCTCTTATTTGCCTTTAAAACCCCTGACTTTCACTCTCTAGGGGGACACTGTTTGGGTTTCTACCTGATTCTGTGCTCCCTGAATGGCAATTTTTCAATCCCAAATAAACACTTTTCCTCTCAAACTGGTTTCTGTTTTTGAAGGTTGATAGTATGTAAGCATGTATGCATGTGGGTGATGAGCAGATTGGTACCCAGGTAACATTCACAGCAGAGTCAGTGCAGGTCTCCAGTCTCATGATGTGGAAGGAGGTGCCGGGTGCTCAGTTGCCTGCTCTGGTCACCCTGGGCTGAACCAGAGTCCCCAGCTCCAGCCCCTATTTGGGGAGGGCACCCCCTCATCTCTCCCAAAGAGAAGGACTTGCTGAGTCCTGGGCCAGTGCTCCTGGAGGCAGGGAAATACAGGCTCAACGTGCACTATTGAATTTTCTGTTTTTCCAAAGAGGAATGACAGTAGAGTCAAGAACTACTCCTTATGCCTTTGGCCAGCCTTCCTCTGGTTTTGCATGATTTACTACTTTATTTTCTACCCTCATTCATTCCTAATAAGAAGCCAGAAACACTGCAAGAAACTGAAGGAGAGAAATCCAAAAGCAAGCCCTCTTACAGAGACCTCACTGGGATCCAGAAACTATTCAAGTACTGAAATGTGGACAAGTCCCTCATCATCTTACAAAATAAGTTCAACCAGGGGCTGGCCCCGTGGCTGAGTGGTTAAGTTCGCGTGCTCCGCTGCAGGCGGCCCAGGGTTTCGTTGGTTCAAATCCTGGGTGTGGACATGGCACTGCTCATCAAACCATGCTGAGGCAGCGTCCCACATGCCACAACTAGAAGGACCCACAACGAAGAATATACAACTATGTACCGGGGGGCTTTGGGGAGAAAAAGGAAAAAAATAAAATCTTTAAAAAAAAAAAAGTTCAACCAACAGAGCACCTGAAGATACAATTTTGGAAACTAGTTGACTTCAAGATTGTGTTGAAACACATTAGACAGCAACCTTTCCACGATTTATTATTACCAAACCAGAAGGAAAAGGAGATGCAGTTAACCAGAACAAAGTTTATGCTTTATGGAGTGAAGACCCCTAATCCTATGATACTAAAAGCATTAGTGCCCACAAAGTACCCGCTGCCCCTGCATAGCAGGCGTCGCAAATCTCAGCAGGACAAGTGGGTGTATGAACAGCGCTGTGAAGAGAAGCCACAGGCGAGGCTCTTTTCTGCATCTAATCTTGTGCAAAGGGTTTGATCTTGTGTGCGTCTCTCTCTGTTGCTATAAAACTAGAAAGGAATTCTCCTCTAGAGTTTGTCGACAGGATTAGGGAATTGATAAGCACATAGATAATTGGTATTTTGAAATCCTGGTGTCTTTTTTCCCTGAGATTCAAAACTATCACCCACTTATCAGTTCCCCTTTGATCCACCTCCTTTAGAATTATAGAGAAACAAGTATGTTCTTATTTTTAATATGTACCTAAAAGTGTTTCTGGAAGCCTAAGCTATTTGACTACACCCAAGGATTCGCCTCAGGAGGAACATATATATTCATCATTCTCTACTCCCATGCTCACAGAAGCACAGACATAAACAAACAAACAAATACATAACACAAGCTACTTCGTCTTTTGAAAAAGTAGTAATATATATGTATATATATCTTGAATGTAAAACACATATTAACTGCAGAAACTTGGGAAATACCAGAAAAACCATAAGAATAACCCAAAGATAACTGTCAGTAACATTCTCCTGGATGTATGTCAGCATATGTATGTTATATATGATTGTTACAGAATACATGATTTCTTACAGAATTAGAATCATACTGTATATTCATTCCATTGTATACCCTTCTTTTAACATTAAACATATCGAATCATGAAAAATTTTACATGCCTTTATACTTTTAAAACATTTTTAATGATTCCAGTTTATGTTTAGTAATCTCTAAAATTTTCAAGTAGATACCAATTCAAACGTATTAAAATGTAAGTACCAATTCTATTT